ACTTCTGTTATTTGCTGTTGTTTCTCAAATAAATAAAATGAATAATGATATTACAGCTTTCATTTATTTATTTCAAAATTGAAACATTGTCTAGCCTGTAAGGTGTAGAAATAAAGAAAAAAAAAAAGAACCAATTTACCGAATCGTATCGTGGTGTATTGTTGAGTATCGAAAATAATCGAATCATTGGGTCAGGAAATCGATACTGAATCGAATCGCCATGATGGATGTGATTTACACCCCTAGTGTGAACTGTAGCTGCGTGCAACGATTGAAAATATGGCACAGTGTATTCCTGGCTTAAAACTTCACAACAGGCAAATAAACCTTAGGTGCATCACTGCCCCCTGCTGGGTTGGAGTCGGTACATCGGTTATAGCATGGAGAAAAAGATAAGGCATTTAATGCTGCATTCACACCGGGCGCGTTGTGGGCATCAAACATCTGGATTAGATGCTAAGTCTGCGCATTGCGGCATTGAGAGGTCCAGTGGCCCATTCCAGCATCTGGGCTTCAACGAATGCTGGAGTCCGAGCGCCGGGAGCGTTGGAGTTCAGTAAATTTAACTTTTGCCGCTGGACGTCAGAGCATCAACCAATCAGAAAAGCTGATCCAGGAGTTTTTTGGGCGAGAAAGACACTACCTGTAAGCTGTCATCACTTCTGCATAAGAGCGATAAATAGATATCAAGGAGTCAAACTCCAAGGGTTACACAAAAGCCGGAGGATGGATTGTTATGTAGAAGGAACAGAGAGAGAGCTCTGATCATTATTGCTGCAGTTAAACATTTTTTATGAAGTAGGTCGAAACAGTTTATAAACTACCTAATTAACTAGAAATGTTAAAACTAGAGGTGGACATTCCAGGTCCAAAAAGGCGAAAACCATTTCCATTTCCAGCTGCGAAACTCAGACCGGGAGCTAATCAGCTGTTTGAGTGAACAGGATGAAGAAAAACCAGGAAGGGTTTTTAGCCCCTGGACCCGGATTCTCCACCTCTAGTTAAAACCTGTTGACGGAAAATATGCCATTGTATATTCCGGTACTTGCAGTTTTTACCACAAACCTTAAAGAAGAAGTCTGGTGATATTCAGAATTCAAATTTCTGAAATTTCTTTAAATATGAACCTACTGTTCAATACATGATAAGCGTTTTTAATTAAAAGTAATTTTCATGTGAATGTGCTTTACTGGAGGCATCCATGTTTGTCAAAGAACACTACTGCCA